GTGGCGGTACGTGGTGGGCCTGGCCACCCTCTGGAAGCGCAAGTGCCAGCGGGACGGGTTTTACGCACACAGCTTGGACAGAACCGTCTCTGACTGGAGGGTCTTCTACATGCTCTGCAGCCTGAAGAGAAACTTGGTCAAAAACCCCTGCGCTGAAGGTTTGTCTCATGACTCATAGCGGGCTGAGGGTTTCCTAACAGTCGCAGTAAGTCAGTGTCCTGCATTACTCAACCACTGCTGGGTGGGGCAGGGGGGGGACATGACTGTCCAGCTACTGGTGGATCTCTGCTGGGCCCGATCCACGAGTGAACGTAATACACAGCAGAACTACCATGGGTAGACAAAGTATTAGTAAGTACTTGTCTGTGGTTGCAACCAGAAAAATCTCCGGAGTCACTAAAGCCCCAGCGCTGCGGACAGTGATGGTTAATTTGCATAGTGAGTACAACATGGTAACGAAGCTTCCATGTGTCTCAGGCAGTTGGAGAATTTTTCTTGTCAAAGACTTGACTAACATGACTACAGTAATTCTGCTTGGTTACTGCTTCTGAGTTTCTGATGTGGTCAGAAAGTTGCTACCTGTGGTGCTAGCTGGTGACAGCCACGTTAAAAGTACTGGCAACGCAGAGACAGCCGTCACTTCCAGCGGCAGGAAAAACACAGGGTTTCCAGACACTCACCCAAGTAGGTTCCTGGTATTGTGCTGTAGCTGAGTATTTAACAAAAGCAGACATGCTGCTGGAAACTGAAGTGAGGCCCTAATACTCGTCTTTGATATCTGTGTTTTTAGAGAACTTTAAGCACTGGAAACTTGACAATAATGACGGAGATAAATGGAAGATTGAGGATCTGCCTGGGGTTCACGGAAGAGAGATGCCAGACCCCAAAGTCCACAAATACTTTGTCACTTCATATGGGTAAGAACTGGATTCCAGGAATGTGGAGCTGGGAGACCTGCTTCCTCCTGTCTGCAAAGGCACTATGGCCAGAAGGCTTGAGGCAGGTCACTGCACCTTGGGTGGGAAAAGGAAGGTGCTTAATTAACCTTTCATACTAGTTGGCCTGAAGAGACCGGTGTGCTCCTGAGAGAATTAATCACAGCATCTGCTATGTTTCCCTGTCCCTACCAGGAATTTCCTGTGACATTTATGGTCGCAATAATCCACGTGGGAACTCTGCTTCTGTTCTACCAAAGGTGGTGGGCAAAGGTTAAGGCTTGGCAAGCTGATCAGCTGTGCCTACCTGACAGGGTCGAAGCTGTGTAACCTCTAAGAGTGGTAGCTGTGTTTGTCATGTTAACAGCTGGCAATAAAAGCTGTCAGCAGAAGAGGATTAGCTGCTCTTACGTACGTTAAGCAGTAGTTTCCTGTTACCAATATATGCTGTGCAAGCACGGACCCCTCTTAATCCAGCTTGTAGGTAACTATTGCTTTTATCTGGGACTGAAGCGCATCAGTTCACTTCCTTGTCTAGTTCTGGCTACGGAAGAAGTTGTGCCTTAGCCAGGCCAGCCTCGCGGGCCTGCGGGGTCTGGGTGGGCTTTTGGTGAGAGCCAAGCTGTGGGGGAAAGTGTGGGCACTGAGAGGGACCAGATGTGGTTTGTGAAGTTGTAACTGTTTCTATTTCTGTTGCAGGCCATGCTTTAAGTCTCAACTCATTACCCTGCAGAAAGAAGGATACTGGAATCAGTTGATGGATGAGAAAAGGCCTGAAATTGTAGTGAAGGACTGGTAAGCGTATGCACTGAAAACTAGAATCTCTGGCATTGGCCTAGAGATAAGCTAGGCCTCTGAAGCTTTTCCTGCTATAAAATGAGTTATCTTTTGGGAGCTGTAGTTCTTGAGCAAAGCATAAGCTAAATCTGAGTTTATTCAGTGGGCTGTAAGGAGGTGGCAATCCTGTGAAGAGCAAGATAGCTGCAAGTTCTATAAGCTCTTCATAGCTATGGGGGTGACATTCATTTTCCTCCGCACACCGGGATCCCCTTGGAGACTCTTTTTGGACACTAAAGAAAAGCGAACGCTGTACATACAACCCTGCTCCTCGATTACTCCCTTCCTCCCTAGGTATGCTGCCAGATTTGACTGCGGGTGTCGCTATGAAATTACAGTGAGGCTCCTTTCTGAAGATTACATCGTCCTCGAGGAGTTCCACCCTGAGCCCGTGGTTATAGAGCAGTGGAGCGATGCAATGTGGAGAGAGGTAAGCAGCAGCCCTGGGGGCAGGAGCTCTACATCAGTATTGTGATATTTGAGTCTTGTAAGTCTTAGCTGGCCAAAAGCCCCAAGCAGCCCTCCCTCCTCTGCTCCAGACAAAATGTGAGCCAGGCAGTCCTTGCTGTTGGCGATGCCGAAGAAGCAGCAGTGCCGTGGAAGAGCGAGGTTCGGTTTGAAGGTGCCCAGGGTTGCTTAAAGAGTATCCCTTGGGTCTCTGTGTTATTCTTTTAGCTCTGTCTCTTTAATCGTTTCTGGTTTTCACTTAAGTTTGTGACTAAATAACTAAGTTTCAAGAGCACAGTTCTTGGTTTTATTGGATCAAAAAGCTTTGTTTTACTGCATGGATGTCATTTAAAGTATTGCAGGCATTACTTTTCTTAAAGCGCTGAACATGTTTAACTGGTTTGATGGGCTGCAGATTGCCCATTACATTGTTGCTTAGATGACAAATGTACCCAAGAACCAAGTGTAATGTTTGGCTTGGAGAGGATTTTCAGGGCAAAAGGCTGAATGAGGGGCTTTTCTCCCATCCCTCAAAAAGGGGTATGCTGCACTTCCAGTGAAAGAGATCTCAGAATGAGCCTTTCCTGAGACCAAGACTCACATACTGTAGTCTGAGCTGCCAGGTCAGTGATGGTTTATTTAGACAAATTAAGAGGACTTTTCTTCTTTCTCTCCAGATTTCTCACACCTTCCAGAATTACCCAGCTGGAGTTCGGTACATCTGGTTTCAGCATGGAGGCCAAGACACCCAGTTCTGGGCAGGCTGGTACGGGATCCGAGTGACAAACAGCAGCATCACCATCGGGCCCTCGACACTGTTATGAAGGCGCAGTATAAGTGTTTGCTTTTACCTCAGGACTGTAAGCGGGTGGTCTCAGGTGCACTTATTTGTCTGTACTCTCTGGGTGAGTGTCCTGGCTTTGTCTTGCACAGCTGATCTCAGACACAAGCAGCTAGTTCTCCTTGTTCAGAGCAGAATGTCCCTTTGGAAGGACTTCTGTCTTCACCCTTCATCCTCCTGTACCGTGGATGTTACTGCAATTACTAGTGCCCTTCCACAGGAGGAAGACTAGGACAATTAAATATGGCATCTGTCTTTTCTAGTTAATATGTTCTTGTGCTACAGCCAAACCCGAGTCTTAAATAGAAACCCTTTCTTGTTTGTTTATGCAACTTAGGAAAGGTAAGGCTAAAATGTTTCATGGCAGATTATCAATGCTGTCCTCAAGGGCTCTGCTACAGAGACTTGTTTTGTATGGTATTTTCCTGTTTCAGTTTACTAATGTATAGAAACATGTATTTTTCACATCAGACTTCTCGTAGCATAAGGAAACTGTCAGCCCTTTTTCATAAATGCTGTGTCACTGGTACTTTACCTTTTCTGTAAGTGTGTATGATCAAAATGTCCAAATACAGCCCAGCATTGTTTGAATAAACAGAGAAAGAGGAGATAAGGAATCCCTTAAGGTGGCTGCCTTACACCGTAAGTGCCTTTGGATTGTGCTGGGCTTTTTCCATGCTACGTTTGTACTACCAAACCACCTGGTTTGTACTGAAGTCTAACCCTATATAAAATGTTAAAGCAGCGCACAACCTGGATCTGTGGCATTCTTGCACTTTCTACTTGGAGGAAGCAGGGAGGTACTACGCTGGCTGTCTTACCAAATTGTCTGACCAACAAGCTCAGCTCAAATACTGTGAACCATGTCTGCTACCCCTGTACGCACAGAGCCAAGAGTAAGGCCTTCCTCCATCTCCTTTGGTAGGTGTAGGACCAACAGCGTTTCCCTCGTCTCTGTTCTGTTAGGAGTAGGACGTTTGGCAGGTGTCCTTGCTGGACAGACAAATTCTACCTTGCTATTGCCACTCGTGAGTGAAAGCTCTCCTGTGGAAAGGGGAGAGACCAAGGCTGTGCCGCCTCTCTTAGGAACTGACAGGTCCCACATATGTTCCAGAAAATTTGTGGAAAGCTGGCAGAAGCTCCATGTAAGCTACAAAGCTCCACACAAAATAAAAATACTTCCTCACTTAAGGGGGGAGGCTGGTTTGGAAAGAACTCAGCCTAATGCAACTGGGGTAAAACTTAGTATTTATTGAAGACTACTTGGGACAGTCACAGTGGACAAACACTACGTAAGGCCTCACTCACCCTTAGTCCGAGTCCATTGCTCTATCGGAGCATAGAACAGATTGCTGTGTATCACTGCCAGTGCAATGGCGATGCCCTGTTAAGGCGAGAAGTGGATTGGTACAAAGCGCTGACCGCGTGCTGCAGTCGGCTGTGTCCTGCCCCTGCCCCCAGGGATGCACCGTAGCAAAGCCTATACTCACTATCACGCGTGAGTGTACGTGGGAACAGGCTCTGGCTCCACATTCCAAGTCAGTTCTATGTACAGTGGTAAGAGCACTTGAAACAGAGAGGCAGCAGCTGCTCTACATTCACCCGGAAGGCCAGCCGAAGAGACGGTTATCAAGGTATGGTCTGTGAGATACTGTATTCCGCTGGAAGATCAGATGAGGCTTGAAGGCAAGGAAGATTGGAAGTCAGGTGCCTTTGTGGGCTCGTTCTTCTACATAAAGCTGCATCTGGAGGAGAGCAACAAGCATCGTTTCAGTTTGATATGCAGGTAGGTGAATGGGAAACTCTGCAGCAGGCTAAACAGGAAGAGTCTGTACCTGCCCCCATACCCAGGTTTCCTATTTCATTATGAGGAGTCCTGCCTTGTTTTGATTACTGGCACAGGCATCTGCAAGACTAAGCAATAACGCTGCGCAGCAGTACCGTAATTGTTACCCTACAGGAAGCTGCAGAGCTGGCATCGGAGTAGCCACAGCTTAGAGCTACAGGCAGTTTCAGCCACCTCCTGGGTCGGAATGCTCTGCTCACCTTTAAGATATCCGATGTCATGGTTTTCAGGGGAATAAGCCGGGGGTCATGCATGTGCACGTCTTGTTCATCAGCGAGGATCCATGGGAAGTCCTAGGGGCAGGAACGCAAGGTGCTTTATGTGCAGAGAGGCTGGCAGACTCTACGGTGAGCTCTAGCACTAGGTCAGCATTAAGTGAATGAGAGATCCAGCGCTGAGGGTAGGAACAGGTAACTCGAACCCTTCTTAACAGCAAAACGTAACACTTGCACGCTCAGCCCTAAGACTTGGTGTAATCATCTCTAATTACAGCATTAAAGTATAGTGTTAACACACTTATGCCAAAGTGACATCTTATTGCTCTAAAAGATAGACTCTTACCTGTCCTGAGCTACCACATTATATTTGTTACACCAGCATTTATCTGCAACTCCAAATTGCTCAGGGCATGGATTTCTGTCCTGCCTTGCAAGTTTAAAGTTGACCGACTACACTACTAGTTTCCATTACTAAGCAGTACAGAGCAGTCTTCCATTTTGAAACAACTTCATACTTCACTAGCTTTATTTATTGTGCCTTAGGACACCCACAATAACTTGGCTCGAAGAAAAAAGTTTCCCTGTACCAAAGAAAAAAAAAAAAACACAACTTGTATTAAGTGATCTGCACACACTTTCCTGCAAGATCAAAAGTATTTGTGCACCCAAACCTACTAAAAAAAAAAAAAAAAAACACAACTTGTATTAAGTGATCTGCACACACTTTCCTGCAAGATCAAAAGTATTTGTGCACCCAAACCTACTAGTTAGTTCAATCTTGTTCTTCCTTGGTATTTATAAAGAATCAGTCATCCACACATAGTGGATGTGGGATAAGAGCAAGGTATTTTATTACTGAAATTCAAGTACCTACCCTCTATGTCAGAGTACTTTTAAGTGACTGAGAGCCATCAAGCAGTAAGTATTGCTGCAACCGAATTCAGGCACTGAAGCAGCTATTGTCTGCAATTGTGTCTGGTGTGTGGTGAACGTGCTCGGTCACCTCATCAGCATACAGCACTTTAACCATTCAAAGCAAAGTTGTGAAGCTAATGTTCGTGTTCAATATATCTAGCAGCCTTAACCTCTGAGATGCCAAAACTCTGTAATTTCCAGTCTTTGCTCTGCAGCTTGCTCACACGCCATCAGGTAGCCAAAGATATCCCTCACCTTTATCACCTGGATCTTCTCCATGTTCCGTGTGGCAGCCTCCCGTGTGTGAACCAGAACTGTGAAGGTGCAGCCTGCAAGAGGAATGGTGGGCTCCAGATCAGGGGACAACTAACAGAGGATCGATCAGACACCACCTCTTGTCTCAAGCCAAGCAAGGCTGTGCTATCAGGCTGTAGGGACATGCTTACCTGGGGGGTTGTTGTCAAGCACAGCATCGCACACACTGATCTTGAGGATGAAGGCACGCAGTAACTGCTCCACGTGGGACAGCAGGGACTCTGAACTGTTGAGGAGACAGCAGCTGTTACTGGCATGCAGCACAGCACCGGGGCCTGGAGCTGCTTCCAGAACCACCCCTGCAGAGGCGGGAGTTGGATGCCATGGACAAACAGCAATGGGAACTTCACCTAATAGAAAGAAGCGGTGGCTGGGTGATCTCAAAGACAAATCTCTCCACCGGGTGGTGCTCTTTATCCAGGATTACCACTACAACCTTCTCCACATCGTTCTGCAACAACAGAGATGGAAAAATTCCTTCGTAAAACAAGCTGTCTTCTTCCCCCAGCCAGTGTGCTTCACATACTTCTGACACAGTGACAGTATGCTTATTTGCTGTGACTCGCAGCACCAGCACTTATCCAAAGCCAACGCTGCCCGGTTATTCCTACTGATCAGAAAAAATGATTTTGCAAAGCCATTTCTTGCTAGCTGTTAAACTGACAGCTTATTGCAAAGGCCTAGGGAGATGAAGTGCGCTAAATAGTACATCTCTCTAGATACTGTTCTGGAACAAAGGAGGAGACGTATGCTGTCTCATTGCATCCCTCAGGCTGGACAATGATGAGGAAGTTAAGATATGCTTAGACTGTTAGCCTAATATATAGCAGTTTTGTACTACTGCAATGTAAAACTGACCTGTTTTCATTCTCTGTGTGCATTAGGTTGTCTGTAAAGAGCAGAGAATGCAAAACCTGACAGCATCTTGCACCCCAAAATGTTTCTTATGGTCGCATCTTTCTCTCTCAACCTAGAGCTCAAGCCTACCTTTGCTTGCTGGCTTACAGCAAAGCATTCAAACTGTTCTGGCAGATAGGTGCTTAAACCTAAACGTATCCAAAAGCAGAATGTTAAAGCGTAGGATGATGTAACTGAAGATATATAGCTGTATATCCTCGTGTGCCTGTATTGGATGCAACTACATGCCAGTGATCAGCAGCAAGGCTGGGCCTTAACTGCAAGTAAAGGGTATGGATGTTACTTTTATTTTTGTTAGTAACTTTATCAGCTAGTATATTGTATATGGTAAATTTATAAATAAATTTTGCAGTGAAGACAGTATTTATGTTCTCTTACTTTCTCTCAAAATCACTTGCTGTACTTCTGCCCAGGTCCCCAGTATGATCTCACCTTCTCGAGCAGCGGCTTTACACAGTGCAGCGTGTCCTGGATGTACTGGTTCAGCTCCGGGTGGCAGGACATCTGCAGCAAACACAGTGAACAGTCAGAGCTGTGTTCTGATGTGAACCAGGACAATGCTAAATGGGAAGATTTAAACGGAAGCCCCAATGTGTTACAAGGCACTTGAGTCACACTTCAGACAGAACTTACCACCACTAAGTTGCCCATTCAACCCAGTAATTCTTTCATGGAAGGGTTAATTAGCTGAGGCAGGTCACTACTCACACAGCTGCAGTATGTGGAGAATACAGACCCACAACAGCATACTGGGAATAGCATATTCCAACCATCTCTCTTCCTAGGAAGCATGCTTTCATGTTACCTTACTGCACATAACTGGGGAAGCCTTCTACTACTGCTGTCCATGATCTGCTTGTTCCA